ATAGATAGATAGATAGATAGATAGATAGATAGATAGATAGATATTAACATTGATTAATATCATGCTCTACTCATATGTAAAGGTTTGGGAGCCAATCCTGTCATACAGATCAAGAAAATGGAGATGACATATTCTAACAAGATGGAATAGGATGGAGCAGCTGTGAGGGCTGTTATCCTATTTAAGGTGGGCTGAGGCTTTGTGCTAAAGTTAAACTAGCCAGAGTCCTTGATTTAGTTGCAGATACTACTAAATCAATCACAGTTACTACTTTTTCATTCAGTATTTTCTTCTTGTGTTATCACTTCTAATGGGACAGACAAAAACATGAATAATGGCTTATAATGGCTATAGCATTTTAAAACATGAACCAGAGGTTCTGCTGAAGGAAATTTTCACCATGCTAGGAAACATCAATACTAAAAATCACATTTTCTACACTTACTACAAATCCAATGCCATTATGATTTCTGGAATATGGGTAAAAGGCACCCAATTGCATCCAACGAGCACACATGTCATATGTTGTGTTGTCATTGAAGCCACAGATATCTGCTCCAGTCTGTACATAATAAAAAATATTTAAATATCAGTCTCACTTTTTAAAAACAATATAAAGAAACAATTAAAATTATTGTGAATTAAACTTACATAGGATATTCCAAAAAGGCTAAATTCCATCATACCTGAGAAAAAAGTTGTACACTGTTTTAGCAAATGATTTGTCTTTTAATAATCACTAAATTAACCTTTTGTAGGCCATTAGGGATTTTGTTTTGATTTTAATTAAGAGGTACATGTATCAGTCTAAAGTCAGTCTATATTAAAATTACAAGTATTGATTTGTTCCACTCAATCTTCTGCAAGATATTTAAAAAACACACACATTTGTTTGCCAGTGCAGTTTTCTGTAATAAACTTTGGATTTAATATAATTATCTCAATAATATATGTAAAATATATAGTTACATATATTTTATATATGTAACTTTCCATAGTATGCATTTTAACATGTAATTTTATAATATATTCAAGATGTTCAATGAACTTTTAATTCTAAGAACAACATGATAAGGTCAGGATGATATATTGGTAGATTATAATGAATTCTGTAACAGATTTTGCATCCATTTTGTTAAGTTTCATGTTTTACATTAAAAACTGTAATACATATTATACAGAATTGGAAACTGGAAACTTAAGAAAATCCTAAATCCATCTTTTCAGAAGATAGTTTGACTAGAAGGATTGCCCCTACATTATTATGCACTTTTAAATTTTAATTTAATATTACTTTATGGCTTTTTTTCTTATAAGAGAAATGATCTATCAGTGGATTCTTTTTTTTTTTAAAAAAAAAAAGCCCCCTTACAAGTTTATTGATGAAGATACAATGCAAGAAGTACTTAAGTGCTATGACGGTGAACGGTTAGAATGCAGTATTGCAGACTAATTCACTGCCCAATTCCAGGAATTTGATCTGACTGACTCAAGGTTTACCCCACCTTCCATCCTTCTGAAGTCGATAAAATAAGGACTCTGATTATTGGGAGAAATATGCTAATACTGTAAACTGCATAGAGTAAAGCACTATGAAGTAGAATTAGGTATAAGTGCTACTGCAATTGCTATTTATTTGGGGGGATGTTTCATAAATGTAGAAGAATATAATAATAACATCACATGCACATTCCAAAAAGTGCAACTTGAATGTTTTTCTTAATTGGATTCATTGAAATATAATTAATCATGTATTAAGTACATGATATAATGGAATAATGAGGAAGGAAAAATTATTTGTGTGCTAATGGCGGTAAGAATAGTGTTATGAAATATGAAAATATTTAGTTTCACACACAATACTTTCAGTGCATATTGTGCTCATCTGGAAAAAAAAATAGGTGGCATAAATACAATTGTTATGTTTTCAATGTATTAAGACTGAAGTTTAATTCATAAGGAACTGAGAAAATTAAATGTTCCTGATGAGTATCTTTCATGATTTTTATTTCTTAATATTCAAAAATAGCCTATGTCATTAATTATATGTTGCTAATATGTCCAGAAATGGGATACATAAATAAATCTGATGACTACAAAAATGTATGCAATTCATTTGCAAAATTGGGTAGATAAGCATTAAGAGCAACTTTATACTACTGATAAGAGTCTGTTACTTAAAGTTTTATAAACAGTAGAAATTTTATTTGTTTACATAAAACCTACTAACTGTAGGTTTACATAAAACCTACTAACTGCATGCAATTTAGCTTTCACTTACCAATTATGGATTTGTAAAGTTGGTCCCATTTAGAAATATTATCACCTAACCAATGCCCTGCCCATTTGCCACTTGATGGAAATGTTGAACGAGAAATGACAATGCCACGTTCCCCTGTGACACTATGCAGAGCCCTAATAACAGGAAGAAACCAACATTTAAGGTGAATCATTAAAAATCATTATATATACATTTTTATTTTATTTTATTTGTCATATTTATATATATATATATGGCATTCAGCTTTGTTTGGGTATTTTCCCACGTCATTGTAGTTGTGCTTTTAAAGTTGTAGCAACGTTTCGGCAGAATCTCATCTGCCATCATCAGGCTTCTGCATTGTGTTTGTCTGTGAGTCAGACTTTCACAGCCGTTTCTGTTTTAAATTTGGTGCTAGCCTACTGCTGTGCCAGATTGGTTTTTTCTTCATCCTGATTGGTTGGGAGTCTTGGTCTGTGTTTATTGGTCTTGGAGTTTGCTGTGTTCTGTTTGATTAGTGTTTCTAATATCTTCTGTTTGTTTTGTAGCTTTTTTTGTCTTGATTGGCTGGCAACACTGTGTTTCCTGTATTGGAGGCTTTTAGTGCGGCTTGGCTCCGAGTAAATGGATGGCTATCATTTATTAGGAAGCTAGGTTTCATCTGGGTGCCTATATATATGTAGGTCTAGGTGTGTTCGAGTCTTTTCCCATGTAAGATTAAGAGTATCGTCGTGACGTTTCGGCGAGGTCCCACTCACCATCCTCAGGCTGGTGCTTTCGGCTTCGTGCTAGTGCAAGCAGTGTGTGATTGGAGCTGCCGTCTCTCTATAAATACTGGTGGTGGGGGCTGGTGCGCTGGGCTGGTTGGCTGCGCTGCTGCCTCTTGATTGGTTGATGGAGTTGATGTTGGTATAATGGGCTGTGTGATGGCCTTGTGAGTTTTGTTGTGGAGATATCCTGGAACTTGTGCTGTAATCTCCTGGGTCATTTGTTTTGTGGTGATCTTTTTTCCATTAGCCTCTCGTGTTTTAACGGCTTGGGTAATGGGTTGTGTGATGACCTTGTGAGACTTATTGCTGTGGTATCCTTGGTCTTGTACTGTGATTTCCTGGGTCATTTGCTGTGTTGCAACTTCTTGAGTTCTTGTGGTGTAATTTCCTGAGTTTTCTGATGTGATATCCTGAGTGGGTGGCTGTGATGTGGCATTCTGGGTTTTGGTCTGGCTTTGAGTTTGGGGTCTGGGTCTGTGTTCTTGGCATGTGTCAGCTTGTTTGGTTTTGGGGTCAGGGGGTGCGACAGCTGGCGAAGCAGCCATGGTCTGGTTTCTGGATGGTGGTTGTCCTTCGTTTATAGGATGGGTTTGGGCCTGGGTCTGATGGGGATTGGCAATGGTGACCCATGTTGTTTTGGGTCTGGTGTTGGTTTTCATGGCTGGGACTCATTTGTTGGTGAGGGCTAGTTTCCATATGTCTGGTAGGTGGGAGGCATCATCCCGTTTATTCATGTTATGGGAGTGTTTCTCTATTTCGATGGCTTCCCTGATTATTGTCTTGCTGGAGTGTTCAGTGTTGGATATTAATTTGGTTCCTTCGAAATTAATTTCATGTCCTGTGGCTTTAAGGTGCTGAAAGATGGAGGAAGTATTTTCTTCTCTTCTGACTGCGTTTTTGTGTTCTGCGATGCGTGCATTTATTCTCCTGTTGGTTTGTCCAATGTATGTGGCTGGGCAATTGTTGCATGGTATTTCATAAACTCCTTGGTTTTCTAGCTGAATCTTGTCTTTGGGGTTTCTTAGGATGTTGGCTATTTTTTGGTCAGTGCCGAAGACTGTCCTGATATTGTGTTTGGGGAAAATTTTGCTGATTTTGTCTGTGGTGCCTTTGATGTAGGGGAGGAGTGCGATACCATTGTCTTGTTCTGTGTCTTGGTTTTGGGGGGGTGTCTCTTTTCGGATTAGATTGGTGATAGTGTTTCTTTGGAATCTGTTGGAAATTAATACATTAGTGAGGGTGTGTAGTTCTGTTCTCAGGTGGTCTTTGTCAGCTAGGTGTTTGGTTCTGGAGATGAGGGTCTTGGCTACGGAGTTGATCTGTGCAGGGTGGTGATAGGATTGTGCATTTAGGTAGCAGTTGGTGTGTGTTTTTTTCCGGTAGATGGTGTGTCCTAGGGAGCCATTGGGTTTTTTGTAAATTAGGACATCCAGGAAGGGAAATTGGTTTTTGGTTTCTGTTTCCATGGTGAATTGTATTTTGGGGTGTAGGTTGTTAAGATGTGTGAAGAAGTTGTCCAGTTTTTCTTTCCCGTGTGGCCAAATTACAAAAGTGTCATCTACATATCTGAGCCAGAGTTTGGGTTTGTGTACGGATTTGTCTAGAGCCTTGGTTTCAAAGTGTTCCATGTATAGGTATGTGTGTGTG